ATAGGTAATTTGCATAGGTAATTTGCTATATTGTAGGCACACAGAAGGAGAGGTAAACCAAGAAGCTGCAAATGGAGAGTTGATAGATATTTCTAAAAACTAACGTGAAGAGTACTCAGTTACAAAGTAAATGAAGGACAGCTGAAGTCACTGACTTATTTCTAACACAGTAAAAGTTATTATGAGCACCTGATTTTAGCAGGCTGATAAAGTAGTCAGGTGTGCCACATAAAAAACTAGCAATATTTCTTCTAGACATCTTGAGATAGACATAGAAATGTGGGGAAAATGTTGAAGGTCTGATTGAAAAAACATTTTATCACTTATCTGGGAAATCATTTTGGGTGGCTGATACCCTGCTAAATTCAGTTTGGGGTTAAGATGCCAGAGATCAGGGTTTGTTCAGAGGCCTCATATCACCATCATCCAGAGTAAAATCATCATTTTTCAAGTTGCATAAAGGCCAATATGATTTTTGTGCCCATAGGAGACAATACAAATCCTCCAAATAAACAATTCTTTAAAGATATGCTGTCCTGGGGTGCCTGGGTGGCTCAGTGGGTTAAAGCCTCTGCCTTCGGCTCAGGTCATGATCCCAGGGTCCTGGGATCGAGCCCCACATTGGGCTCCCTGCTCAGTGGGGAGCCTGCTTCTCCCTCTCCCTCTGCCTGACACTCTGCCTACTTGTACTCTCTCTCTGTCAAATAAATAAATAAAATCTTAAAGAAAAAAAATAAAAAAGAAGTGCTGTCCAACAGAACTTTTTGTGACAACAGAAATGTTCTGTATCTGCATGTCCAATACAGTACTAGCCACTGAGGGCTACTGAGCACTGACAATAGTGAGACTAGTGTCTCACTAGCAACACTGTCTTAGTCTTAGCTAGTGAGACTAAGACACTGAATTTTTATTTATACTCTAATGAATTTAAACGTGAATAGCCAGATGTGGCTAGTGGCTACTGACTGTATGGAATAGTGCAGCTTTAGAATCTAATCTAGTTTAAACAAAATAAAGTTTGCTTTATTTATGCTAAGGAGAAGAAAAAAGCTGCCTGAATTAACCCTGGAGAATAATCTCTAAGGTAAAAAGAAATGGCTTTAAGATACGGTCTGCATAAGTCAGTAATAATTAGCAGAACTTGGGGTCCTCTATCACATTCACAACTTCAGTCTTTAGGATGCAAGCAACACATAACTTTTTGAATTTATATTTTTTTGGTCTGTTTATTCAACATTTTTTTATGAAAATTTTATTTATTTATTTGAGAGAGAGAGAGCCAGTGTGCATGAATGGGGGAGGAGAAGAGAGAGAGGGAGAGGAACAAACATACGTCATGCTGAGCACAGAGCCTGATGAAGGACTCGATCCCACAACCCTGAGTTGGTGACCTAGTGGAAACTAAGAGCCAGACACTTAACCAAATGAGCCACCCAGGTGTCCCTCAACATCTCTAATAAAAATTTTAAATTATTTCCACTTTAATCTACATTATCTGGCTAGCACATCAAACATATCTGAAGGAGAAAGCAACAGCATATCTTTGGGAAGAAAAGGAACTTCATAATTCTTGAGTACTTCTATATACCAAGTTCTTCTTTTATCATCATCCCTATAAAGCAGATATCACCATCCCCTCATTTCAGAGGAGGAAATTGAAGTTCTGGCATGCTAAATAGCTGAACTACAAGCATACAGGTGGGCAATGACACAGCTACCAGATGAACCAAAACCTGGTCGATCCCTCAAACTTATGGTGTTTTGTTTTGTTTTGTTTTGTTTGCCTACTATATTACACTGCCTCCCACATCCACTTTACAATGTAATTTTCAGAAATAAATTCCACAGTAAAAATAATGGTAATCCTTAATTTTCCTCCCTTAATTTCTTCCACTGGCCTGTCCATCCATCTTCTGCCTCATTTGATAAAAGGAAGGAAGGAAGGAAGGAAGGAGAGAAAGAAAAAGGAAGAAAGAAAGAAAGAAAGAAAGGAAAAGAAAAAGAAAAAGAAAAAAGAAAGAAAGAACATGGTATTTATAGACTGGTTTTAGACTATTTAAAAAGATCTAAAGGTATTACATTTAAAAATACTGTTTCCTTTCAGTTTTTAAACTACAGATTTTTAAATAATAAGCTCCTAGGACTTTAAATCACAAGAAATTACCCAAAGAGATACTTTAAAATTTCCTGCAAATGATTTATTAAAAATATTGAAAAAGGCAATTTCCAAAAGCCATCTAAAATACTTGTTTCATTAGGAAAAAAAAACAAGAACAAAACAAAAAATTAAAAACCCCTCAGTTGTAGAATTCATGACATCAACCCTGTGTGTTACTCAGTTTTTATTTTATTCACATAGTAAAACCTTCCCAAAGAAGAAACTAACATGTGTCATACGCTATGGAATCAAGCACAGCCACATAAGCACTTAAGGAAAATAAGGCAACACTTTACAAGCATCACAAAATTTAAAAGTAAATTAACAGGTTGGGAAAAAAGCTATCTTTTTGATGGGGCATCTATAACATAGTGTATTTTTAGTGTTCTAAGTAATGGTAATCTTTTGAAATTTTGTGTCTCAATGTAGATGACTAAAAAAGTGTGGGGGGTGGGGAGACAGCTGCAGTCCTTCAGTATTTTACAAGAATTTAGTGGTTATGATCATTATAGTCCTGGTTAACACTGACGGGGTTCCAATCCTGGTGCAATCCTTACTGGTTCCTTGGGCAAGGAATTCTGACTCACTTTTGTCATCTGAAAAATGGGGATCAAAATTCCTAAGGTTGTTGGGAGGATTAAATGAGTTAATATAATATAATGTGAGGTACTTGGATTATTCATGGAAGTAATGTTCTATTTTTTTTTTTCTAATTATCTATAGAACTGAGAAGACAAACAAGATAAATAATTACCCTTAACTGACATTGGCAGATAGATTTTTTTTAAAGATTTTTTAAAAATTTTAAGTATTTTCTACACCCAACATGGGGTTTGAACTTATAGCCCCAAGATCAAGAGTTGCATACTCTACTGACTGAGCCAGCTAGGCACCCCAGCCGATGGATATTTTTTAAAGAGATGCCATAAGATGCCATATAATCAGTAATAATTAGTAATATGTTTTACTGAGGACATCACAAAGGAAATGTTGGGGTAGTAAGAATGTCTGAAAGATATGTCGATATATTATGCTGAGAGCATACTATAGTAAATAAGCAATAGTTTTTGTATTTTATAGGATGTTTCAAAATATATAAAACAATGGGAGAAGTTGAGTAAGCTGTCTGACTATAATTCCAACTGGAAAATGGCATCTGAGATGGTTGCTTGCGTATACTGTAATATGGGCTCCACAACGCAAAGGTCATAGAAGGCTTCTAGAACTTAGAAGGGAAGTCTTTTCCTTACAGAATGTATTTTCAACTGCATGTGGATTGTTATGATGAGTTTTCCCAAAGAGCACATTAGAGCATTTCTCCTACAGTATTACTTCAAACCTTTTTGCCTTCTTAAGTACTCCTTTATTTCCAAGTACTCTAGCTGCTCTTAGAATAATTTTTCCTTACTATAACCTGATGAAGGGAAAAGACGAAAAAAGGAAATGAGAAACAAGACAGAAGAATGCCTTGATATTACGCGCCACCGATCTCCAAACAGGTTTAAGTGTTGTCAAAGCCCATAAGGATCTTGCTAGTGCTGTGCATATGGAGTTCAACTCGGGCTCCTCCTCTCCTGACTTGAGGGGAGAACAGCAATGAGAAATCCTTATCTAGCCCCAGGCTTTGCAGAGAACTATGACACTCAAGGAAAGACGACAGATGGAAAGTTCCTGGGTACTCAAGGAAGAAAAGTGAAGATAATTGGAAAAACTGAAGAATCTCTGCACTGGCAGGCACCTTAGAGGTCACTCAGTCTGGCCCTCTTTGTCCTGTAGGTTTCCTCTTCACTGCATCTCTGAGAGATGGCTCCTCAGCCTCTGCCTGAACACCACAATAACTGGGATCTTACTTCTTTGAGTCTGCTTGCTCCAAGCCAGAAATCTGAGCTATATCATAGATTTCCACATCATTTTCCTATCAAATTAACCACTATGCCTTATGTATTTTGCCTCTTAAATCTGTTTACTGTTCCCCCTCCCACTACCTTAGTTGAGGCCTTTCTCATCTCCTTACGCGGTCCTGCCAAAGTACCCAACTACTAGATTTCACCTCAAATACTTCACCTCCAATCCATCTTCTCATGGCAGCCTATAAAGCGGATGTTCTAAAACACAAATTACATCACATCATTCCTCGGCTTAAAACCTTCTGATGGGTTACTATCACAGAGAGCAAAAAAGTCTCAGGTTTTAGCTTGAAACGCACACTCTCGTCGAACTCTTCTGCTCGTAGCAGCACTAAATGGGTGTGGTAGCCCAGGCACCATGCTTGTTCCAGGGTCCGAGCTTTTGCTCATGTTGCTGCCTTGGGTTGGAATACTCTTTCTTCCCTCTGTCCACCAACTAAGTTAGTTCAGGAACTAGCTTCCAAAAGGCATCTTTTGACACCCTCTCCTGGGTAATATAAAAAATATTCCATGTGTGTATCACTGTATTTATCATATACTACCGAAATCCTCCCAGTGAGTCCCTCAAGCAGGGACCATGTCACACCCTTAGCGCATGGCACAGGACTCATGGTAGCAAGTGTTCAGTATATGCCTAGTAAACACAAGGACTTTTTCTGAGGTGAATTAAAATTTATGGTTCCACACCCGGTGTTGTTCGGAAGTGCTGAATCACTATGCTGTACACCTGAAACTTACATTACACTGTATGTTGACGAACTGGAATTTAAAGAAAAAAAAAAAAACTTAAAAAAAAAAAAGAAAAATTATGGCTCCCGTTGTCCAACTTTTGCTCCATGCAGCAATAAAAACCATCTCACCAGGGAAATCAAGCATTTGGGTAGTGCATAAAAAGGCAAAGTTTAAATACTACTTATATGACATTTTCTACTTACCTAAGTTGCTGTAGGTTGCACTACAGGGATTCAGGTCAATAGTATCTGAAATGTCTTCCTTTTCCTCTTCCCTTTCCAGTCCAGGTAGGGGCAAGGCTGCTGTGATGGGAGGGCAGCCTCCGTCATCTTGCCTCGCAACAACGGATCTTGGATCCCGAGGAGAGAAGTCCTCTGTCACTTCGTGGGTCTTGTGACTGAAACAAATCAGACTGTGGTCACAGTGGCATTCAAAGGTCTAAAATTTAGATTTATAGAAGACATATACTTGCCAAAAATGTAAATAACAAGCCCCAGAGTCACCATAATGGGTCCTATGGCCTGAAATACTTGTCTGAATACAGGGCAGTCCTTCATCTAGGCTGATTCTCCTATTTATCTTGATTCCTACACATTGAGAATCCAGTTCGATAGAGGAGGCATAGTAATCTCAGAAGGAAGCCTGAGAATAAGAAGGTAAGAAATGAAACTTTTTAAGGCAGGAGGTGGCGATGGTAGTGGTGGAGAAGGCTGAATGCTTAACTGGTTAAAGACAAAACACCCACATGCTTAGTGAAGCATCTGGCATATTTACTATATTATAGTACTGTAACATCAAATAGTTTACTATATAAACTTACTTTATTTCATATATAGAGTTTACTAAATGCTAAAGTATTCAGTAAAGGATCAGGAATAAAGCTGAGATTAGACTAAATAAGGAGGGTAAGCAATTGCTTCAGAAGGAAAACTGAGGCCAGGAAAGTCTTGTTGTCAGGAGGACAGAATCATCAGCCTTTGCCCGAATGCATGCCGTAGGCAAGGTGAATGGAAATGAAAGGTCTGCATTCTCGTTAATCTTCTCAATTAAAATGAACCTGAAAGATCCTGTTGGCCACATACCACAGTGTGGCATCCATACTACTTTGTGTTTCCAATCTTGTTTCACGGCTGCCTGCTCATTTGCTTGTAGCTATTTCTTCCAGTCTTCCCCACTGCCCATCCTGCCTGAACTGTCAATTCTTTGCTATAAGTACAAGGGTACTTTAACGTTGGTAGAGAAAACTAGCCTAGTCAGAAAATCTCACTGGGCTAGCCAACAAAATAAATTTAAAAACAGGCTTCTTTAACAGTTTCTGAGAGTGTTCTTACACTGTCACACACTTACCAACCCTTCTCCCCCCCCCCTTTTTTTGGTTTTGTTTTAATGTGGGCAAAGAGAAAGAAGGAAACATCTTATATACTATAGCATGTTATTTCTGGATTTTCAACTGGCAGTGAATCATGGTGACATTTACAAGTTTCTTTAAAAGAGCTACTTTGTTTGATCATGTGTCATCTGAACACGTATCACCTGTTGATTTGAGGGAGTAGATCTGAAAAAGGAGTACCTTCTTATCAATCTTTCATTATGGAAATTATGCGTGTGTCTGAACAAAAAAATAAGCCTTAAAGTCTGCTGGATATACAACTTCAAAAATACTCTTTCAGAGCTGGCAGAGCCAGAGGTGTCTCTGTACTGGGAGTGAGCAATGAGCTGGAGCTTCCTTTCTGGGATCTGGCTCTCGAGGACAGTGGTAAGGTGGAAAGGAGCCACTCCACTGGTGGCCAGTAGGGTGGTGTATGTAAAAGAGGCCTCACACGGTAGAGCATGCTGCCTCTTAATGGGCTGCCCTAGGACATCAACCCGAAAAAAGGGCTCCGAACAAAACTGGTTTCTCATAATAGGGAGCAATACAAAATCACAGTGAGAAGGGGCCTTTGCTTCTCTGCCATTAGCAAAGACAAAGCAAAGTGACACTTCTGAGACCCTCTCAAATACCACGTAGTGTCAAGGTTATAGATCACTGGATAGTTACCAACATGCTTCAGAAGGAAAATGATCTTTATTGAGCAAAAGTTAATGTAAGTCATTTCTGATTTCAAAGTACAAGTATATATCTAAATATAAAGTGACATTCACTTCTTATTTTAGAGTTAATTTGAGAGGTTTCCTAAAATGCTGTTTTTAGGCTCCTAACCTCTGCAAGCTTGCTCTCGCCTTTTCTCTTTCCCCAATCTCCTCATTATTACTAAGACAGCTCTCTTTTCCATTATCAAAAGGGATTGGCAAAGGTTGGTTCAGAAACCACGACTCTATCCTCCCTTGTCTGTTTTCCTCCATGCAATGGGCTATTTACCATGAGCTTCAGCTATTGTGAAGACTTCAGAAAGAGTTACTGCTATTAAACCATGAAGAATTCCCTGGGCCTGCTCCTCATATACATGAAACACAGCTCTGTGCTCCTATGGGCTTCTCACAACAAAATACGGATGCTAAAAAGCAAGAAATGTTAAAGACTCACCCACTGTACTCACTCAGACAATTCCCCATTAAAGGATATTCTACAGGGCCGCCTTCGGTCTGTTAATCATGTTCTGAAGCTCTGATGTACCAGAGATCCCACTGAGCTCAGGAAAACTACAGGTTGGGTAAGATACAAGTTTCGAATCCTGCACCTTAATATCATCCACTGCACCTTGACCTTTACCTTAGGGGTTTGGTCTGGGAAATGTGCCAAACTACCTCTGGGAAGCAAAGTGAAAACTAGTTATATTAACTCTTTGAGGATCAGAGCAGGACAACCTATATTCCACATAAAGGTTAGTTTTCATAAGCACATTTTAAGTAAGTACACTGGTATATTATATCACCAATTAAAATAATCATCAACTATAAAGAACTATGCAAAGGGAGCTGATGAAAGTGAAAGCACAAGGAATTGCAAATGGATGCTAAGATGTTTAATCAGCAGTGACAGCAGAGTCTAAAAGGAAGAATTTTAAAAAAATGCGTCAATGATATGTCACGTCTTGATGCTTGAGGGAGGAACAGCTCTATGTACGATGAAAATGGTAAGAGATGAAAAATGGAGAGGCTTTGAGAGTTCAAGCTTAGATGTGGTAACATGCTATGACTGAAAAATGAAAAAGAACTGAGAACAGCATCAGAGAAGGTTGACTCAGTCACTATGTATCAATAGACAAACTGTCTAGGAAGAAAGAAAGAAGTAAAATCCAACAATTTATCTAAGGCATATTAACTTTTTAAGGGAATATAATTTTTGACCATTGATTTCTTTGTGCCATATTTAGATATGAAATCAGAAAACCCTCCCAGGGGCGCCTGGGTGGCTCAGTGGGTTAAGCCTCTGTCTTCAGCTCAGGTCATGGTCTCAGGGTCCTGGGATCGAGCCCCACATTGGGCTTTCTGCTGAAGCAGGGAGCCTGCTTCCCTTCTCTCTCTGCCTGCCTCTCTGCCTACTTGTGATCTCTGTCAAATAAATAAACTCTTAAAAAAAAAAAAAAAGATATTTAAATAAAAAAAAGAAAACCCTCCCAAATAGTAAAATGACACTTTCCAAATACAGACTTTATCTCCTAACAAAGGGGTTCATCACCAGTATTTCATCAAGAAATGTTTAAGGTAATAGAGAAAACACCAAAATGAGAATCTGAGAAACCAGGTTCTGATTTCCTATTCCTTGATCATCTCTACCAACCAGAGGACAGCCTCAGAAAGGAGATAACGAACAAAATGAAAATGTCCCCCATTTCCTCCATGAGACAGAAAGTTTAAAAAGATCTTTAAAATGAAATTATAAGAAACTTGTTAGAATTTCTAATATACTATATCTTAGCACATCTTGAAATAACAAATATGACAAGGATAACTAGATTTTCTTCAGGTAAGTACAATTTGATATTCGTTGTTATAAAACAGAACTGTTAACTAATAAATGGCCCACATAGAGGAAGTTATATCTTTTCTATTTCTACAAGTTAAATTCATGTTTAAACAATCCCTAGGTCTATAGTGCTATGTAGTATGTCTACAGTAACTATGGTGTTGACACATAGGTCCTTAATTGTCAGGCTGAGTCACACCCTGATTTAGCCTACTATTTTCCTGGACCCTCAGCATTCACTCTGTTTTTATAATGGAAGACAACACAAGTTCGTATGTACCTCAGACTCCTCAACTGACTTTTTCATTAATGACCAGTTTATAATTGAGATTTGGGATAGATAACCCAACACTTAAAAAATCAGGTCATAATCTCCCGGAAGACATCTCATTTTCTGAACATGGAGAATGAACTTAATGTGTTCAAAGGAAACTGTAACATTGTTACAGATTTGTCTGTTATACAAATGAATCCCTTGGTAAGGTTATCTCTCATCAGTCTGCAACATTCGTACATAATTCAAAGATGCACAAGCAATCTCCTGTGGGAAGCTCACTTGGTTTACCCAGGTGGTAGGATTAATCATTACACACCATCAAATGAAAATGATCTTTTTTTTTTTTCTGGCATAGTCGTTCAAGACAGATTTTTGTAAAAATTCTGTTAAATATCTGAATGTACTTTTTAAAAAAGGCAAATCAAATTCTGCATTAGAGTCCTTTATGTATCCAAGTATTTCCACAATTTCTGTTCATCTTTATCTTCAAATTCAACCACTTCCATTCAGCTTCAGAAGGGACAGTAAATGAAATCAAGCTTCAACAGAGACCATCTGTCTCTTTGGGCAAATGGTATTCTAACCTCCCATTTGCCAGCTCTCTTCGGCAACAGCATTTGTCTCTATTTGCCCAAGACAGCCAATTAATAAATGTGTGATTTTAAAAACATCTTTTTACTCCTAAAATTCAGATCAAAGCATATCAGAAACAGCATATCACAGTTTTCTTAACTGGTTTCAGAGCTGCTGATTTCTGGGTTGCAGGGGATGATGGGCTTTTGTAGAGCTGGAATATATACCAACACATGAGGAGAGTTCAAAGTTATCAAATCCCACACCTTTAATCTATCAGAAGGAGGAAAAACTCTGTTTCTCTCTGTCTCTGTAACCCCTGCTGATGTGACATTTCCTAATCCTATCTTGGTTTCCAGGTCATCAATTTGATTTTGCTATATTTTCCTATTACTGGCATTCTCAGGTAGAAAAGTGTTGTGTCCATTGATCACTATCTTAGTGTCTCCAATTTTCCACTAAGCCTTCTGTAGTCTTTCACTGAAACCTTCAAACTTCTTCTCCTGAACTGAGATTAACCTTTCACTGAGATCTGATGAGTTCTTCCAAATATGTCTAACAGAAGTTGGTCAAACAAAGGTAGCTCTTACTAGTGTGAATGAAGTGGCTGGGTCCTGGAATGAGGAAGACTGGTAGCCAT